GAAACTACCAGCGAAATGATAATTGCATTTCTGTGGGGAGTTGAAATCGCAGAACCAAGACCCCATATTTTAAAGTTGGGCCACCTCCCTCCCACACAGGGAGTGGCATCGTAACGTCCACCTGGGCCTGATGTTCTGGAAGGAGGAAAGAGCTGGGTGTTTCCTGTTCTAGTCTGTGAAACGAGAGTCCTGCAAGGAATGAGCTATATCCAAGTGTGCATCTGGTAAGTCCTCACATCTGGAAGAGTGACTCATCTGCAGTGACAGCCACCCAGGACCGAAGGAAGGAAGGCAGGAAGGAAGGCAGGACGGAAGGCAGGAAGGAAGGAAAGAAGGAAAGGTGATCCTGAGGCACAGACTGAGTGTGTGGATGGAGACTGGAGGTCTGCGACTCCTCACCTGTCTCCCACTTCTTCTCACATGCTTTCTTACAATGAGTACTGATGATTGTCGTGGGAGATTGTTCCCGAGCCATAATGATGTCTAATTGGTAAGATGCTTCAGACCGTAATTTAGAAATCAATCTTCTATTCAACTTGTTCTACAGAAATCACAGAAAAACTTAATGACCAGCATTGTTACTTAAGGAAAATTCTGTTTATGATAATGAGTGTGATGGATAAATGTGTACAGCTGTGATCAAATGGCAGGTGCTGGGATATGATGGTTCTTCTTTCAATGGAGATGATGGAGTGTTAAATGGAGAGGATAAATAGATCTCTTTGAAAATATCTGTAGAGTGTAGAGCAGGGTTGGGCAATTTTCCTCTGTGAAGGTAGGGAAAGAGACTGCCAGGAAAAGCTAATTTTATACTTGAGGGAACAATACTGTACAAATATTAAGGAGTTCTGGTTGTTTCAGATTCAAAAGTGTCTTGTAATATTTTGTTAGGCTGTAAAAGTTCCAGTGCTGTTTTCAGGGTGAACTTTGTCTTTATGCTGTATGCACACACTGCTGATGTTTGATGCCTAAGAGTTCCATTTTGCATACTTGTCTTGTATTTTCCACCATTCCTGAATTGCTTATTACATTTTCTTTCTTTTTCTGAAGTAAGAAACACGTAATTATAGGTTGTCTAATGAAGACTACATTAGTTTCTACAATAAACTATTTTATCACATTTAAATTTCATGTACCTTAGCTTAGATCAAAGCCAGTTATTATGACTAATTTCTGTGACCATTGGTAAAAATGTTGTGCCATTATTGTTTTTATCTTAATATCAATTCATGATAATTTGGCCACAGGAAATTGTTTAGGGTGTCACTTTTTATGGTCCTTAAATCTTCATTCACAAGTGATAAGGTATATGGAAGAAACATTTACACACAAATGGAAAATTATCACAATCAAAATTGTTCAATAAGCTGATCTTAAAATGAAAAGTTATACATATGTGTGGGATCCTGAATGACCACCACCATGTCTCTATGACAGTATAGTACAGGAGAAAGCACAAGGTCCACACAGCCTGGCTGTGAGGTTTAAGCCTGGTTTTTAAGGGTATGGAAATACACACCAGACTTTAGATCTGGGCACCGTGGCACACTCCTGTAATCCTAGTGCTCTGGGAGGCTGAGTCAGGAGGAATGTAAGTTCAAGTCCAGCCTGTGCAATTTAGTGACTTATTGAAAATATCTCAAAATACAAACGAACAAACAAACATCTGGGGGTGTAGCTCAGTGTGAAGGCCCCTGGGGCTCATGTCCAATACTGGGGGATAAAAAGATTGTGTAAGACTTTGGAGAAACTGGGAGATAAAACATCTTAGAAGTGAATTTGTGAGAAGGCTTATTGGTAAGTGAAGACTTGTGCATTTTACTTTCTATAAAATACCCCACAACTTATCTTTCCATACAGAATCGTGTGTTTCGGAATGTTTATATGAAGTCCTGGACAATCATAAAATGAGCCCTGTGGATTTGAAATTTGGAGTGGTCTTCCTTGTCCAGGTTGTCCTTGGAACTCTGGGGAATTTAGCACTCTTGTATCATTATTGTATCCTTTACTTCAGTGGATGCAGGTCCAGGTCCACAGATGTGATCCTCAGGCACCTGACTGTAGCCAACTCCATTGTTATTCTCTCCAGAGGGATCCCAGAGACCATGGCAGCTTTTGGGTTGAAAGACTTCCTCAGTGATGTTGGATGCAAACTCGTTTTCTATGTGCACAGGGTGGGCAGGGGGGTGTCTATCAGCACCACCTGCCTGCTGAGTGTCTTCCAGGCCATCACGATCAGCCCCAGGAGCTCCAGGTGGGCAGAGCTGAAGGTGAAAGCCCTGAAGTGCAGCGGCTTGTCTAACGGCCTCTGCTGGGTCCTGCACCTGCTGCTAAATGTCCGAGTTGCTATGCTTGTGACTGACAGATGGAACAACAGAAACATCACAAAAGCTGTATCTTTTCAGTACTGTTCAGCTGCGCTTCCCACCAAAAGTACAGGGTTCGATTTTGGTGCATTCACCTGCTTTCATGACATTTCATGCTTGGCTCTCATGGTCTGGGCCAGCGGCTCCATGGTTTTTACTCTATATAGGCACGAGCGGCAGGTCCACCATATCCACAGACACAGCAGCGCGTCGAGACCTTCGCCTGGGACCAGAGCTTCTCAGAGCATCCTCGTCCTGGTGAGTGCGTTCATACTCTTCTACACCCTGTCTTCTGTCGTTTATGTCTTGTTTTCTTTTTATCATGAAGGTGCTTGGTGGCTGGTCCAAACTTCTGCCTTTGCCAATGCTTGTTTCCCCACGACCAGCCCTTTTATTCTCATGAGTCGTGAAGGTGGTGCATGTAGGCTCATTTGGAAGAAATGAGCAAATATCTCAGCTCTTTCGATAGGCGACTTTATCTCCTTTTCATGCATTCGGTCTGGATGAACTCAGATATCGCAGAACCTCAGAACAATCATGGACCACTTGGATTGCAGAGAGAGGCATAATGTGATAGCCAGAACAAGCGATTAGTAGCAATAGTAAGTGAAATTTAAAAAAATTTGTGTTTTGATACAACATTATTTTAATTTTGAGTATTTTAGAGTTGAAATTTCTTTGCAATTCTCAATACTTTGAAGGGGTTTTATTGTATTTTTATTCTGTGTAATTAACGTGCATGTCATTAATTACAATATGCTTACGAAAGTTTTGTTTCATTTCATATTCTTTTCTTTGTCTCTTCTGTCCACTCTTGTAGGATCCTTGGTATATCCTGATAAATCAGCCCCATGTATTTTTTTTTTGTGGTTTTTCTCCGGTATCGGGAACCGAACTCACGACCTTGCGCTTGCCAGGCAGGTGCTTTTGCCGCTGAGCTAAATCCCCAGCCCCCTAGCCCCATGTATTTTTAATTGTAATAAAAAGCAACATTTTGAAATTAATTGAGGTCAGTGCATTTTTCCTGATTGGGGTCAGTTTGGCTGAGTGAATGTGGCATTGTGGTCAGTGGGGAGGGGTGATGAGAAATGCTTCCCATTTGACTTTGAGAGGATAAGCAAGGTTTATTCATGCTGCCGGGGCTTTGGCGTCTATTCCAGTCCATCGCTGTCCTGGCACATGTCAATTACTACGTAATAGGTTAAGGGGAATATGAAATCTAAAATGAGAGAGGAAAAAGTCGTTCAGTTTCTAAGAGAACAGTTGGAGCCAAACAATGTGAAACTGTATCTAGAGTACATTGGCATTAAATTGGTAGTGCTGATAGAATATATTGAGGGTTTACACTAACACTAACTGTAGGTAGTAGTTCTGCCCAATGTGTATACATATTAGAAGTATGGGAACTTTTTGATTTAGTTCTTTATCACACTTACAGATTGAAAGGAACCAAATGAAAACTGAATTTTCACTCCACATTCCCATCTTTTATTTCAAGATGAAATCTATTCTTAATTTCAAGGTAGAGTTTTCTTTCTGAGGGGCGGTGTTTGAGACAGGGTCTTGCTCTGTCATTCAGGCTGTTCCTTGAACTTACAGCCTGCACCCCACATCCTGCTCAGGGTAGTTTTAAGTGTCTATATTTGTAGTGGACTGACAACTGGTGGTCAGCTTGTAACCCCAGCTGAACTGAGTAAGCGTGGTGCTGGGTGTGGGAGGCCCACCTGGGGACTGTTGCCAGCAGCATAAGAGGCAGAACTGGAGAAGAAGAAATAAGGCTGTTGGGAGCTGAGGGAAGCTGTTGGGAGCTGATAGGAGCTGTCGGGAGCCTGTTGGAAGCAGAGAGAAGCTGTAAGGAGCTGTTGGTTCTCTCGGAGGAGCTCGTCATGCTGACTTTCCTGATAACTTGGCTGTTTTCATCCTCCAAGGAGCTTAGGACCTGGCTGTTGCTGAGAATGGCTTTGGTTCACTTTGGGAGAGCTCTGGTCCTTATTCTGAGCATCACTTCCTGCCTCTGCGGGGGAAGATGGTGCACTACCAGTCTCCTGGAGAAGCGTGCTGCGTTGGATTTCCTGATGGGAACTCAGGAGATCAGTCTGTTCCTTGCCGTAAGGACTTCCAGTTGTCATTTGAGTTGGGTTTAAAAAGTGGGGAAGGAGAGATGTTTCCGGGTCTGAGTCTCACAGTAGAGATTAGAAGAGAGTCAAGTCTAAGAGGAAACTTGCTGGAACTACAGCGTGCTGCTACCTGCCTTGGTGGTTACTTTAGTTGGATTTGGGGCAGCAGAGATAGCCGGGGAGGTGTCACTTGAAAGTAGTGTCACAAAAGATGTTTGGTTTGAGTAAATCTTCCCACGTAGCAGCAGAGCTAGAAAGTCCTACTGGGTGGGCAGCATGAAGAGGTTGGCTGCTACAGGCTGGCACGGGCAAGGTATCTGCAGAGTTTCAATGTGTATAACTCCATGCATTTGGAGATAAGTTTGCACCCGCGAAAGCATCACCAAAATCAAAGCCATTTGAATCTGAAAGTGTGACCATTTCTTAATTTGTATAAAAATTTAGCCACCTGCACCTAAGGCAAATGCATGGACATTTGGAGGGAGGAGGGCAGTCAAGAAATATACCCCGTAGGGTGTGTGTTTTCTCTGTCTTCATATTTCCTGTTAAAGAAACCTCTTGTACATTACAATTTTGTGAAGCTGGTTGTCAAGGTTCATTGCTTTATTCAGATTCCTCCCACAGTGTAAATCCAATACCTCATCCCCATCTGCTCCTTCCTTGCCCCCTGATATGGGGATCTCATCCAAAGGTATAATTACCACACACTTGTTCCAAAGGGGCCTTTGAAGGCGCGTAAAATCAGTGCCATACACATACCCAACCTTACCAACGGATCCCTCCTGACCCTGTGCTTTGATTTGTTTATAACCTTTTTTTAGGTTAAAAGGATATAAGATCTATTTCCTTTTTTTATTTTAAAAATTAAAAAACTGATAAAACAACAATGAAGACAAAATCAAAACAACACAAAACCCACAAAAACAGTACATGACCTTGAGACAAAATGGTAGAAATTTACAGTGGCTGCTATATTACATACTGTTATCTTCACTGAAGTTGCTCAGTACACTAGATATAAGAATACAAGATTGATCAAACAATCAAAGACAGTAACAAGTAAAAAAAATAATTAAAGAAAACACTGGAAATGATGCAGAGCTTCACCATACACAATGGTAGGAATTCCATGGAAAAATTTAACTATTCAATAAGGCTTGATGTAAGTAGGCCCTGTGATTTTCTCCTGATATCATTTTGGAGAACTGAAACTTTCTTCCTTTTAAACATCTCTTGTGCACCACCATGTCTGGCTTCAAAACCTATATTCCAATTAATTGGGGAATCTACAAAAAATGGATAAAATTCTATGCAGATACAACTTAACCTAATAGAACCAAGATATTAAAAATCCTATCAATAACAGAAAGTGAAACAGTAATAAAAAGTCTTCCAAGAAGGAGTAGCCTAAGACCAGACAGTTTCACTGCTGAATAGTTCCATATCTTTAAACAAAAAATAATACTAATGTTCCCAAACGTATTCAGTGAAACAGAAAAGTAAGGAGTGCTCCACAGTTCACTCTAGGAGCCCTACATTACCCTGATTCAAAAACCTAGCTGGGATTGAAGAAAAAATAAAACCATAAACTAATATCCTTGATGAACATAGATGCAAAAATCATTAATAAAATACAGTCTGAATTTAACAACACATTAAAAAGATTATACAGCATGATCAAATTTAGTTTAACTGAGGGATGCAAGAATGGTCCAACATGTGCAGATCAATAAAAGTAACACGCTACGTAAGTGAAATTGAGGAAAAAAAATCAGGTGAGCTCTTGATGATGAAAGAGCCTTAGATAAAATTGATCAGCCCTTCGTGATAAAAGCCCAAATGAAAGTAGTTGCTGAAGATTCACTCTTCAATACAGTACAAGCCTTGTATCTGTATCCTACAGCAACATCATTCTGAATAGGGGAGAATGGGAAGTATTTCCTCTCAAGTTAGAAACAAGGCAATAATGTCCCCTCCCACCACTCTTTTATGTTTTTTTGAAATAAGGTCTCACTATGTAATCCAGGCTGGCCTCGAACTCTTGAGGATCCTCATGCCACAGCCTTCCATGTGCTGTTTTTATGGGCGTGTACCACCACAGCCGGCTGCTCACCACTGTTACTCAATATATTTTTTGAAATGTTGGCTACAGCAATTAGTCAAGAGAAAAAAAAGAAAGTGATACAAATAGGAAAGGAAGAGGTCAAATCACACTGAACTTATTTGTAGATGATATGCTTCTATACTTAGAAGATCCTACAGATGCTACTAAAAGATATTTAGAGTTGATAAAGTCTGCAAACTATTAGGCTATGAAATTGATGTTAAAAATGGGTAGCTTTAATATATACCAGTAATGTGCTCCTGAGAAATAGATCAGAAAAAGCAATTTTATTCACAATAAAATAAAATAAAATAAAATAATACTGAGGGTCTAACATAACCAAGGTGCTGAGAGAACTCTACAATGAAAATTTCACACACTAAAGCAAGGAACTGAAGAAGACACCGGAAGCTGGAAAGACCTCCCATGTTCACAAATTGGCAGAATTAGCATTGTCCAAATGCCTGTGTTACCAAAGATGACCTAAAGATGCATTGCAATCATCACCAAAATACAAAGGATGATTTTTCACAGAAATGAAAGGAAAATCTTAAAATTTGTATAGTAAGAATATCAAAAGTGATCCTAAGCAAATAAAGCAAACATCATAATATCTGATGTGAAACTGTACTACAAGGCCATGGTAATAAATTTTGCATGGCACTGGTACAAAAATAGACATGTAGACCAGTGCCTAGAAGAGAAAGCAGAAACAAACCCACGCGGCTGCAGGCATCTGATTCTGGACATTTGGGAGCTCTGGCACTGGATATTGGTCATGTGTGAGGGCGAGACAGAGCCAAAGTGCCTCAGGCAGTCAAGCTACCTCAGTACTGAAAAAAGCCTCCTGCCTGCACAATTACAGTCATTAGTCGCTAGGCAACATTACCCTCCCCCCATGATACCAGCTTTGCAATAGTATAAAATAAACGCCGCTACTGTTGAAGTCAGTCCTCTTCCCATCAGGTAAGAGGTAATTCCATCGACCCAGCTCTTGTCTCTTGTCTTTATTTTTCTCTCTGAGGTACAACAAGAGACCAACGAGGTTCCCTACACTGGATAGGGAGCCAAAAATACACACTGGAATAAAGATAGCCTCTTAACAAGTGGTGCTGTGAAAACTGGATGTCCATGTGTAGAAGATGAAACAAGATCAATATTTCCCACTCTGTATAAGTATCAATTAAAAATAGATCAAAGACTTAGGTATCCTAGGGCAGCCACTTGAAACCACACACGGGCGAAGCCTTTCTGAATAGGCGTCCAGTGGCAGAGGAGAAAATAGCAAGGGCCGCAAATGAGGCTAGATGAAATTAAAAAGAAAATTCTGCACAAGGGAAACAACAGATTGAAGAGACAGCCTACAGAATTTGAGCAAGTCTTTAATACTTGCTGGACAAGTCCAATTCATTGAACAGCGGATTAATAGTCAAAGAAGTAAAAAAAAAAACACTAAAAATACCCCAATGAATAAGTGGGCAAATGCTCTGAGAAGACAATTCTCAAAATTGGAAGCAGAGTGACTAGTAAGAATATAATTGTCTTTCAACATTTTTAGTCACCAGGGAAACACAAATCAAAGTGACACTAGATTCCATCTCAACTTGGTCAGAAAGAGTGTTAAGAAAATAAAAAAAAAAACAGTAAATGCTTGTGAGGATGTAGAGAAGAAAAACCCCTTCCACACTGCTGGTAGGAATGTGAGTTAGTACACTATTGAAATCAGTATGGCGGTTCCTCCCAAATCTGAAACTAGAGCTACTATTTGAACCAGTTACCGCACTCCTTCCTATAGGCTCAAAGCAAAGTCAGCACACTGTAGGAACGCCTGCAGTACCTATATTCATTGCAGCACAATTCATAATAGGCAAGATGTGGAGCCAGTCTAGGTGTCTTTCAAGACATGCGTGGAAATGTAATTTCTATTCAGACCATGTTGGGATGGCTCTAAGAAAAGTTGAGGGTGTTGTGAAGGGAACCTTACACACTACTGGTAGAGATGTAACTTACTACAGCTGTGGTGGAAAACTAAAAAAAATGAGTCTATGATATACTCTATCAATCCCACTTTTCTGACTTTATATCTAAATTCAGTCATGCTGTATGCATTCCATTGATTCATGCACCGTTATTCACAGTAGCTGAGACAGGGAATCAAACTCCGCCTCCACTAACAGGCGAATGGTACAGAAAACGGGGCTTATATGCACGTTAGAGCATTACCCAGTCTTAAAAAATGCAGTCTTGTCATTTGGACAGCATGGATGAACCTGGACATCATTATAGGCGAAACACCTCAGGCACGCGGAGACAGATCCAGCACGGTCCCACATACACGAAGTGTTATAAGTTTGAACTATGGAAGCAAAAAGTAGAATAATGGTTACCAACGGCTGGAGCAGGGTGTGAGAAGGAGAGACCTTTGTGCAAGACGCATTTCAATTAGGAGGAATAAGTTGAAGAGATGTAATGTGCAACATGGTAAACGTTCCACAACTACGCACCGTGAATGTTCTTATCATGGAAAACCAGGGGATTGTTTTATATATCAACTGGCACAATATGACCTCCCCACAGTACACACATGTTGCAAACCAAGAGGTTGTACAAAATCAGTATACGTATTTTACTGTGATTGTCTCATCTGTCAGAGCTCAGTATTTTCTTCCTGCAGCATGTGAGACTCTGTCTGAAGATATTGATTTTTTTTTTTTTGGTGGAGGGGTGACAGGAATCGAACTCAGAATGTTGCTCTTGCCAGGCAGGCGCTTGTGTGACTGAGCTATATCCCCGGCCCTGTCTGTAGGTGTTGGAGTGAAAGAAGAGCTTCTCCAAAGCACTGAAACTCACTCTGTGTGGAGATCCTCGTAACTGTCTTCTAATTAATTGTTCCTGGGAATTGGGAAGTGGAAAGAAAGTGTCTTCTTGTCTTTAACATTAGTCACAATTACTCCATGGCTAATGGTTGTTTAAACTTCAGTGCTGGTCGCACTTTGGTAGGATGATGCAACAGCATGATCACATTTCCGGGGGGAAGGTGATGTGATAATCGCATTTCTGTGGAGAGTTGAGGTCATATGGCAGTGGCCTATATCTTGAATTCAGGCTGTTTGCCTCCCACACGTGCAGGGGACATCAAGACCATCGCCTGAGCCTATTGTTCTGCAGTCAAATGCTCTTCCCCTGAGCTATACCCCCGAGCCTATTGCTCTGGAAGCAGGAAGGAGCTGGGTGGAAATTTTCTATCCCAGTTTGTGAAAGTGAGTGTGGAAGGGTGTGCGCTGCCTCACATTCTGTTTCCGAGTAACTCATCATGTGTGGAAACGGGACTTGTCTGCGGTCACGGAGCCACCCAAGAAAGAAGGCGACTGAGGCCCAGTCTGAGCTTGTGGACAGAAATTGGGGCTCTGAGATCCCACACCAGCCTCTCACGGCGCCTCGCCCGTGTTCGCAGAACCAGCCCTAATGGCAATTGTGGGAGTTTGTTCCAAGCGCTAATGAAATCTATTTTGTAGTAACTGTAAGACTGTGATTTAGAAATCAATCTGCTATTCAACTTGCCTCTGGAAATCACAGATACAATTACATGATAAGTACTGTTTCTTCTGTGAACGAGTGTGTCTGTCCTAATGAGTGTGATGGAATGGATCAAATCAGCTGTTTTCTGGTGTGAACAATGTGACCAAATTCTCTCATTGAATTTGACATGATGGGGTGAGATGATAACTAGGTCTTTCTAAAATATCTGTACTCTGTTGATCAAAGCAGGATGCTTTTCCCTCCTGAAGGAAGAGAAGTCTTCCAGGAAATGTTAATGTCCACTTGAGGAATTCATATACCAGGAAAATTAAGGAGCCCTGGTTGTTTTGGATTTAAATGTTCTTTATGCTATTTCATCAGATTGTCAAAATTCCAAACTCATTTCGTGCTGAATTTTGTCTTTCTACCCTCATGCATTAGATTTGATACCTCAAAATTCATATAGATGTGCCTGCCTTGTATTTTAGTGTCAACCCCCAACAAATTATTTTCTTCTATTTTTCTAAATGAAGCAATATATAACATATATTATCTAACAAAGATTAGTTTAGTTTCTCATGCAAAGTACTTCACAATATATTTAAATTTCATATACCTTAGCTTAGATGAAAATCACGTATCATGCCCAATTTTTGCTTTAGGTAGTATTAGCAAAAATGCTGAATGATTATTTCTGTGGCTATCCTAATATTGATCCATATTCATTAAAAAGTTTGATCATAGGAAATTTTTTTGTTGTTGTTGGTCATAGGAAATTGTTTAGTGCTTCAGCTTTTTGTTTTTGAATCTTCATTCATAACTCATGACGGTGTATAAAAGAAACCTTTACACAAGAATGGGAAGTGATTAAAATCTAACTTACTCAATAAGCAGATTTCAAATATGAAAAGGTGCACGTAGGTTTGAGTTACTGAGGGACCACTATATCCCTCCTGCGGTCACACAAAGATGCTCAATATCTGTGCAGCCTGGTTGCCAGGTCCAAAGTCGTTTTTAAATTGTCATTTAGATGAGTCACATAAGGTCCTGTTTGTCCGATCATTTTTACATGTAAAGGGAAAATAGTATTAGCTTGTAACTCAATACTATGTGTATTAAGTTCGAAGCAGTAACTCACTGTGGCCATACCTTGTGAGTGCTCTGTGAAGAAACACACAAGGCTTTGGAAGACTGTTAAGAGCGATCGTATCTTAGAAGAGAATTTCTGAGGAGAATTGATGGTAAGCAAAGAATTTTGAATTTAACATTTTATGTAATAACCCGCAACTTATCTTTCCATACAGAATCGTGTGTTTCGGAATGTTTATATGAAGTCCTGGACAATCATAAAATGAGCCCTGTGGATTTGAAATTTGGAGTGGTCTTCCTTGTCCAGGTTGTCCTTGGAACTCTGGGGAATTTAGCACTCTTGTATCATTATTGTATCCTTTACTTCAGTGGATGCAGATCCAGGTCCACAGATGTGATCCTCAGGCACCTGACTATAGCCAACTCCATTGTTATTCTCTCCAGAGGAATCCCAGAGACCATGGCAGCTTCTGGGTTGAAAGACTTCCTCAGTGATGTTGGATGCAAACTCGTTTTCTATGTGCACAGGGTGGGCAGGGGTGTGTCTATCAGCACCACCTGCCTGCTGAGTGTCTTCCAGGCCATCACGATCAGCCCCAGGAGCTCCAGGTGGGCAGAGCTGAAGGTGAAAGCCCTGAAGTGCAGCGGCTTGTCTAACGGCCTCTGCTGGGTCCTGCACCTGCTGCTAAATGTCCGAGTTGCTATGCTTGTGACCGACAGATGGAACAACAGAAACATTACAAAAGCTATTGATTTTCAGTACTGTTCAGGCACCCTGCCTGACAAAAACGCAGGTTACTTGTTTGGAGCGTTGACACACTTTCATGACGTTTTGTGTATGGAATTTATAATCTGGGCCAGTGGCTCCATGGTGTTTAACCTGTACAGGCACAAGCAGCGGGTCCACCATATTCACAGCCAAAATAGCTCCTCAGGATCTTCCCCCGAGAGCAGAGCCACTCAAAGCATCCTCGTCCTGGTGAGTGCCTTTGTCTCTTTCTATGCTGTATCCTCCGCCATCCATGTTTGGTTTTCTCTCCATGGTGAAACTGCTTGGTGGCTGGCCAGAATTTCTGCCTTCATCAATGCTTGCTTCTCCGAGGCCAGCCCCTTTATTCTCATGAGCCGTGAGCGCCGTGTTTCCAGGCTCATTTGGAAGACGTGAACAAATACCTCAACTCACCACACATGTGAATGCATCTGCTTTCCTTGCGTTGCATCCTGCCTGCACGCCTATGTGACTGAACCTGAGGGCCTGCATGCATAAGTCCAATTGCAGTAAGAGTTGTTGGCGTGATAGAGCTGCTATTTTTTATAAAGTAGTGATTGGGGGCTGGGGATTTAGCTCAGTGGCAAAAGCGCTTGCCTGGCAAGCGCAAGGTCGTGAGTTCGGTTCCCGGTACCAGAGAAAAACCAAACAAACAAACAAACAAACAAACAAATAAAGTAGTGATTAGTAACAATGTGAAATAAAATCTTCACTTTATTTTTGATGCAATTTTATTTTAAATTTGGAATATTTGCATTCCTTTAATTTTTTGCTTTGGAAAAGGTCTTTAGTTTTACTCAACGTAATTAATGTATACATCATGAGGTACGGTATGTTTAAATCAGTTTTCTTTCATTTAATGTGTTTTGATGTCTCCCGTCTCTCCCACTCTTGTGTATAACCTGTTATGTCAGATCCAGATCTCTATTTTACATTTTACTTCCACCTCACGTCCCTTTTATTTACTTATTTATTTATTTTTATTTTAAAGAGGAAAAAACCTAACAAAACGATGACAATGAAGACAAAAACAAAACAACACAAAAACAACAAAAATGATACATGACTTCAAAACAAACTGATGGGAATTAACAACGGTTGCTACATTACATACGGTTATCTTCTACGAAGTTGCCCTTTTATTAAATAATTACTTAGAAACCTATTATGATTTGTGATACTTATCTACAATTATTAAGTTTCAATTTGCATTTTGCTGTGTCACTGACATATAAATACCTGTCGGATTCTTTCTGGTTTAGCTGTGCACTTCTTTTTATTTACAGTTTGTGTTCAGTGCAGATCCATTCCATAACATGAGAAGTTATTAAGAATCAGAACACCATACAGAAATACAGTATATATTCCAAATGGTTGTACAGTATCAGGTAAGACCCAAAAGTGAGTGTTCATTTACATGTACCATTGTTCCCCTGCAGATTTCTTTTTTTTTTTTCTTTGTACCAGGAATCGAATTCAGGACCTTGCACTTGCCAGGCAGGCACTGTGCCACTGAGCTATATCCCTGCCCCCCCCAGTCCCATAGATTTCTAAAGATGGAATATTAGGATATGTTTTTCAAGATGCACTATGGCTGTACACCAGAGCATGGTAACACCAGTTTGTGACTACGTAAACAGGAGAGTGCTATGAGCACCTTTGTTTTTAAAAGATTTCTGTGTATGGAGCAGCTGCAGAAGATTTATTTCAAGTCAGGCCCACCTTGAGGCTTTGTACCAGGTTCATCTACATATTCTGTCTGGCAACAGAAAATGCCCCATGTATGTATATTCTGATCCACAGTCATTACAAAAGTATTTACAGAAAGAATATAATCACGTGTACATGGAATGCAAATCAGCTTCCAGTCTTCAATTTCCAAATGCTTGATTTACAAGTTTGGTTCCTCCATCCTTTTGCCTTCCTGATAGATTCACAACTTTCCCTTTAAAATGTCTGCAGCTTTAATTGTGAGAAGTATTTAACATGCGTGGAAAAGGGAAGAAGCACTTTGACGTTAGTCAGTGAATGCGCTTCTACTGACTGGAATCAGATCAGTTAAATTAGTCTGGAGCCATTGAGCGAAAAGCGGTGAGAAATGCCTACCATTTGACGTTTAAGGATCAGCAAGACTTACTCATGCTGCTTGGATGTGGGGGTGAATCCAAACCCCCAGTGGCCTTGGCACGCATCAGTTACTATTTTAAGTCAAATGCAATGTCCGATCCAAACTCACTGAGGAAAAAAATGAGCCCAGGTTCCCAGAGAATGGTTCTTGCTCAACACTATGAGACGTTCTGCAGTGTAAGTCAGCAGAAGGTTTGTACTGCTGAAAGAATACACTGATGGTTTACAGGAACATTTGGTAGCTGCTTCTAGGAAACATGAAAAGAGAGTCTTGCGAGCTTTTTCCATCACTTCCTTACTGGCCTTACTGATTTATTTATTGGGTTTTTTTTCCGGTACGGGGAATCGAACTCACGACCTTGCACTTGCCAGGCAGGTGCTGTGCCACTGAGCTAAATCCCCAGCCCCTTGGCCTTACTGATTTAAATGAACCAAACGCAAACTGAGCCTCCAGGGGGACCCATCCCGGTCAAGTAGATGCAGAGCTGTGTGCGGGAAGCCAGAGGAGATGAACTGGAAATACAGGTACTGACAAAGCGGGGAGACAAACAGAGCTGAATGTGGGAGATCCAGCCACAGCATGAATGCAGCAGATGAACTATATCTTCAGCGCAGTTAGAAAGGTAAGCAAGATGCCTCTGGTTCACAGCAGCCCCTAATGCCAGGTCTGCTGAAGATTCCACTCGGGAGTGGCTCCACCATCCTGAGGGAAGGGACCACGGCAGCAGAGGCCAGGCCCCTGGGAAGGGCTCCTGTCCTATTCTCCCTGCCCTGTGGGACTGGGAACCCAGAAAGTGCGGTGATCACAGAGCAGGGCACCAGAGAAACTGAATGCAAGGAAACCACTCAGCATGCAAAGAGTACCGGGCCTCTGAAGTTCAGAACAAGAGAACAGCACTGACTGGGGACTCAGAGCTGGAGAGACCTGTGCTCTAGGGAGCCACAGGCTGTAAGCGTGAAACATGGGGAGAAGGAGATTTCCAGCGTTGCCAGGGCCGTCAGACCCCAGCATCCTCCCAAACCCCGGGGGTCGCATGTCCACGTGATGCCCTGTCCGCTGCCCGCTGTTCTGCACTGGCAAGAGAGCCTATCTGCCTCCTGGGTGCCACAGGGCTCAGGGGCGGGAGCCGTGAACTGCAGCCCCGAGACACTGGGGAGGAAGGGCGGCCGTGCAGTGCTGGAGCGGTCAGTCCCCCAGGCCCCTCCCGAACACCGGGCACTCCGTGCCTGCCCACTGCCCACTGCGCATGGTGTGCTGCTGGCGAGGGGGCTCTCCCACCGCAAACGAGAGCTGCTGAGCCCGCCCTTGGTGCTGCGCAGGCTGCAACTGGTGAAGACGAGAGAAAGGGAGACCCGGCAGCGCCGGGCCGGAGCAGACCCTGCCCTACTGTTCCCCTAAACTCGAGGGTGCCTTGCGCCCGCGCACACCCTGCACGAAGCCTGTGCAGCACCCGCAGGAAAACTCCCCACCCCCACCCGAAGACCGCTGAGCGCCAGGGGCCCTCAGCACCAGAGCACACAGGGAGGGAAGAGGCAGCTTTCGTGGAGGGTGCAGGAGACTCAGGTGAAGAGAGAGAGATACAGTTGAGTCAGGAAACAAGACCGAGACCTGATTTATTTCACTTATGAGTATGGTCTCTAGTTGTGGCCTTTTACCTATAAAAGCCTCGAGTTTATCTTTCTTTACAGCTGAGTAATATTCCATTATATAAAAGTACCACAATTTTCTTTTCTTTTTTTTTTTTTTGGTTTGTTTGTTTTTTGTTTTTTTCCGGTACTGGGAATCGAACTCACGACCTCATGCTTGCCAGGCAGGCACTGTGCCGCTGAGCTAAATCCCCAGCC